TATTTTTTTTATAATTAATTTGTACGATGAATATAAATGTTAACTTTAATTTAATTGATTAGCTCATTAAAATATCCATGCGGCAATTTTGTAAAAATAAATGTCAATTTTTGTAATTTTTAATGTAAATTAATTACAAAATTGTATATTTATTATACCTTTAACTTGTACCCTCAAATCTATTATTATTATTAGAGTAGAGATTCATTTTGATACAAATATTACATATCACACTTATATAAAATCTTATAATTTATTTTTTCACTTTTAATAGTTGTGATTTATCATAATTTTTAAATGAAAAAGATAATTATCTTTGATAAATACAATAAAAAATAAATAAATCTCAAAAATTAAAAATGGAGAAATAAATTATTAATATTTTGTATAAATGTAATGTTAAAACTTGTGCCCTTTAATAAATCTTAACTCTTATTATTATTATTATTATTGTTATTATGGAAGACAAATTCTTAATTATTGTAGGAGAAAGGGTAGCATTTTATCAACACACGCAATTGATTAGTATTTTAGAATTTGGACTAATTTGTTGTTTTTCAGGGATTCTGGAATCTGGACCGATAACCTCCTTTCCTCAATAGCCAATATTCCTAAACCAAAAGGGACTCCATTTTTTTTCCATTTTTCTTTTGCACTGTAGTCAAGTCAATTTGTTCATGATGTGCCGAGACTAATTTCACTGGGAACAATTTTAAGAGTGCACCATTTAGATTACCTGATGCATTAAATATTGAGTGGTGCCATAGGAACAATCTTTTTATTTCATTTTTTGATATAATTTTCACATGTCATTAAATGAGTGAATGCATTCAATATTACGAGTTTCACATGAATTAAAAGAATCAATCATTTTAATGACACATCAGGTTACATCAAAAAATGATACAAAAAAATTATCCCAAAATCATTTCTCTTAAATATTAACCTTAAGACTCAAATCACCTTAAAAAGTCTTGCAAATGAAGATATTGCAACACTCTAAATAATTAATACCATATTATTAATAATTAAGAGTGCAATAATAAGATCACTTAAATCTTAAACTTGTTTAATAAAATGATAACTCACAACAAGTTACAAGTATTAGAAGCAACCCTCAGACTTAATAAATAGAAGTATATTGGAAAAAATCAGCAGCATGTCATGGGGTGAAAAACAATACAGCTGCTAGTTGGCTGATTAAAAAACCAAACTACAGCTGCTAGTGGTGCATGGTTTTGTTGAACTTAAAAATAATAAATAATAGTTCAACAGTATTTGCAATTTCAAGCAATCCATCACGAAGTGCTAACAGATGTTTATATTTGGTTAGCCCCATGTCTCTACTAGTAAAAATTGATAGCCTTAAATCTCAAATTCAAAACTTAAGAAAGATGAAGAGGGATTTTAAAAAATAGTGCTATTTTATCTTGTATACCTCATCATCAAATATTTAATCTACCTGTGTATAAGAGCAATGAAATTACAAACGAAACGGTGTCTAACTTTACAAGGTGTAAGTTGGAAAATTCCAAACATTGCGGTTTAAATTATCTGTCATATTTGGAACTTCAGGTTCTTGAGCAACCGAGTGGGAACCTCCGGACTTTCATTCTTCCATCTAAGGCAAGAGCCAAGAGATCATATTCCTCGACGTACCAGAGCTCAGATACCGCTGCCTGAATTATGTTTTCAGGTAAGGTTTAATGCCAACATATAAATCCAGAGAAAAACAAACCGTGCAAAGAAATGTGGTAGGAAGGATGCCTTTTCCTGTGGCCAAATGGTATCTTCACTGCATTTGAACGTGTAGAGAATAGAGATTTATTTAAAATGCTGTAGAAGTATTATAACTCACCTTAAATCCACGGATTTGATTGTTTAGCTCAGCCACAAGCTTGTGGAAGAATTGCAGTTCATCTGAAGTATTTTGCGCCTCCTGATTGTGAAATGAAAAATTGTAGAGATTAAGAATTTGTTCATGGAATCAATCTTTTAACATTAGAATGAAAAATTTTTTCTTGGTTACTTGATATCAAAATTTATTTTTCTTTTTGCAATAGAAATGCTATGAACAGTTAATCATATGAAGCTGTAGAGAACCAGGAACAATTTGAAGTTGAACACAAATGTATGTGATACCGTAGGTGTAGCCTTAGGGGGGCCAACTAGCCTCGCCAATGACGTATGAAGAATGGCAGCATCATACTGCAACAAAAAGCAGACAATCAAGTGGGCTCAATAAAATCTATTATTATATCAGAGAACAGCAAAGCCAGTGACATTATTTTCCTCTTATTGTGAATCTATAAGAATGCAAGCAAGTACTGATACTAATACCATTGATAAAGACAAATAGCAAGCCAGTACACAAATAATACGCACCACCATATGGATTCTAAATGAAGATGCAACCATTATCACAAGTCAAATCAACACAATGGACCACAAAGGCATTAACATCATTGTCTGTCTTGTAGGGGTTTTGGGAGTGGAAGATTTTTGCAACTTGCAAATTAAAAGTTTTCCTTCAATGGCATTAAGAACAGCTTGTTGGGTGGATGATTTGGCTAACATATCTATGTTTTGGTTTCAGTGGTAACATCTTCCCACCCATAAAATTCCTTGACACACTCCTTGAATAGGAGGGAAAAAATTGTTTGCAGAAGTTGTGTGACAAATAGGCATTCAATTGACATATTATGCTATAAATTTTCCTGGTCCTGACCATTATAAGTTTAACCTGAAATACTGCTATGGCATTATATTTCTCATGTTCCCTCAGAAATAAGAAATATTGCATATGGCATTACAAGGTTCTTACAATTTGCTTCTCTGGTGCTTGTGGAAGTGCTGTTCTCAAGTTAGCACGAATGGTTATGGGATCTGTACCCGAAATCACCTACACAAAATTGATAGATAAATAAGAGTCAATGTGAAGCAACTTAGTAACAGTTGTCATCAAAGATAAGTTGTCACCGCCGTTGAGTATAGATTAGAACTTGCAAATGTACAACGTCAAATAAGAGACCCAGAAGGTGAAGGGGAGAGAGAAGTAAATTTATGGGAAGTAACCTGCCAGCAACCCAAAAGCACACCAGTTGAGGTTAGAACCACTCTATCTAAGACAATTTCTAATGGACAGATTGCCTCTGCTACAGCTCTGACCGCAGTTGCTTCAGCTTCAATCTGAAGAAAGATATGATGGATCAAAAATTAGACAAAAATTAGACCAAACATCAGACAAGAAGAGCAAAGAGTAAATAGCTACAAGGGCAATTTACCTCTTCTTCAGTTGCAGGAACAGGAACAATATGGTTCGAGGCATGAAACATGCTAAAATGGTACAGGCTAGAGTTCTGAAACCAGATTGCTAACCAGAATGTATGGAAGAATGCAGAAATATGAGAATTAATACAAAAGTGAACATTTTTACATAATGCATAACAAATAAACCAATCTGAAGCACTGTTGTTTTTGAAAAATCATCAAATAAAGCTAAAAAACTGCATCAATGTGAATGGTTAAGGTTCATAAAAGCTTACCTTTTTCAAAGTATGGACCAAATATGCGTTTCACAGCATCCCTGTAATGAGGCAAACAAGATTGTACTACATAAGCATATGACCCTAAGGTATGAACTAAACATAAGAAGCAAGAAGTGGAAACAAACAACTAAATCTAAGTAGTTGTTGTGGTAAATCTAAATTTCACTATAAATGGGGAAATGAAAAGTTTCAAGTGTATGCTTATCTTCCACATTGCTAGGATTTTACAAAGAAGTAGTTAGCCTTACTAGTTATTTAAATACAAGCATATATAGGGAAAAA